ACACACACACATGTGTATATAAACATGCACATACATACAGAGAGAAAGTCTTGCTATGTAGGCCAGGCTGCCCTTGAAGTCTTGATCCTCCTGCCCAGCCTCCCATGCTGGGATGACGGACATGCACCTGTATACCTTCCATCTTTAACCCCCAGAACCAACCACCTGTGTATTCATATCTGTCGTCCGTTTCTGCAGAATCTTCGTTCAAGGCTTCGTCGAATCTTGCTGGCATAAGTGGCCCCTGTTCTCATGATCTGTGCCCAGTGTTGTGTGCAAGGGCTGGGTGGTCAGGCATTCTGGGCACTGAATCCCCAGATGCTAGGCCCCCTGATTAACATTGGTTTCCCTCCTGTGGAGCCGTTTTGGTGTATTAGAACTGGTATACAAACCAAGCTGCCTGTGGCTAGGTCCACCTGCCTCTGCCTCCCGAGTGCTGGGATTGAAGGCTTGCACCACCACGCCCAGATTTTTTTTCTTTTAAGACAGTCTCATGTTAACCAGGCTGGTCTCAAAGTCACTATGTAGCCAAGGATGACTCTGAAATCTTGATCCTCCTGTCTTCCCCCTCTCAAGTGCTGTAATGACAGGTGTGTGACACCACACCTGGTTATGTGGTGCTGGGGATGGAACCAGGGCCTCCTGTGTGCTACAAGCATACACTGAGCTGCAAGCGCTCTCCCCACTGAGCTATAAGCACTCTACAGCTTCAGCCCAGAAAAGCCAGAATCTCTTTGATGGCCACCACCACTGCCTCCCCCCTCCCCGGCTCCTAAGCTAGACCTGGGATCCTCGGGGATTGGATTTTCTTAAGAATCCAATTCCTTTGTGGAAAAAAGAAGATGTTTTTTGTTTCTTAGCCAGAATCTTAGGGTGGTCACCGTTTCTCAGTGTGTGTTGGAGGAGGGGGACAGTGGCCTCTGCCCCACTGTACTTCTGCAGCCTGCAGGGATGCCCATGCTGGTTGCTTGGTGTACCCACTCAGCCCTTGACTTATGTTCCAGACCTACCGAGACCACCTGGAAGGGCAGAAACACCGGAAAAAGCAGGCGGCTCAAAGGACAGGTGCACAGCCCAGCGGCAGCACGAGAGGGCCACAGGGCCAGCTGCACTGCGGCCTGTGTGCTGTGTCCTGCACCGGGGCAGACGCCTATGCCGCTCACATGCGGGGAGCCAGGCACCAGAAGGTACTAGCTTCCAGGGTGCGTCTGTGACTCCCACACTGTGAACAGGTGCCAGCCAGGAGACAGAGGAGGCAGACACAGAAGGGAATAATGGCCTGGCCATGGGCAGCTAGGCCAGGCAGGGGAGCTGAATGCATCACTTCCCAGGCTGGTACTCTGCTGAGACTCATGGGGCAGATGTTGAGGTGTGTCCGAGGTGATGGGGACGAAAAGGCTGGAGGTGGAGGCCCTTCGAAACTGAAGTGTGTGGTGGAGGTGTGTTCCCTGGGGGGCCCTGAACCATGCGTCTCTTGGTAGCGGAGAGGAAGATAAGGTGGAGCAGAGTTGGGAGAAGAGGGTTAGTGGGAGCCAGCAAATGTCGGAGAGATGGTGACAATGGTCTGTAGGAAATGGGACCCTAGGCAGGTAGGAGGCTTTTCTACTTTGGTTTGGTTTGAGTCTTCTTGAGACAGGGTCTCCCTGTAGCCCCAGCTGGCCTAGAACTCTCCCTGTATAGGCCAGCCTGGTCTCACTGAGATCCACCTGCCTCTGCCTGTGCTGTGGTTAAAAGCATGCTCCACCAGCACACTGGGGAGCCTGTTCATGTGTGGCATGCCTACCCTGTTTCCCAAACTCCACTCTGACCATGGGATGGGGTCTGTTTCAGGTTTTCAAGCTGCACACCAGACTGGGGAAGCCCATTCCCGCTGAGCCCACGCCAAGGAGTGCCACCTGCACCCGAGCCTCAGATAGCAACCTTCGGGCCAAGCATGACTCTCATGCTCACTACAGCTCACACACATCAGGCCGGCCATCAGCAGCCAAGGGACTTACAGGCTCACGCAAGGGTACAGGTCTCTAATTCTGTACACATGCGCCCATGACCCAGTATCTACTGAGGATTCTATCTAGGCTGTCACTCCACCCCTGAGCCACGCCCCCAGCCCCTCACTGGGGATTCTAGGCTGTCACTCTACCCTGAGCCACGCCCCCAGCCCCTCACTGGGGGATTCTAGGCTGTCACTCTACCCTGAGCCACGCCCCCAGCCCCTCACTGGGGGATTCTAGGCTGTCACTCTACCCTGAGCCACGCCCCCAGCCCCTCACTGGGGGATTCTAGGCTGTCACTCTACCCTGAGCCACGCCCCCAGCCCCTCACTGGGGGATTCTAGGCTGTCACTCTACCCTGAGCCACGCCCCCAGCCCCTCACTGGGGGATTCTAGGCTGTCACTCTACCCTGAGCCACGCCCCCAGCCCCTCACTGGGGGATTCTAGGCTGTCACTCTACCCTGAGCCACGCCCCCAGCCCCTCACTGGGGGATTCTAGGCTGTCACTCTACCCTGAGCCACGCCCCCAGCCCCTCACTGGGGGATTCTAGGCTGTCACTCTACCCTGAGCCACGCCCCCAGCCCCTCACTGGGGGATTCTAGGCTGTCACTCTAAGGCTGTCACTCCTCCCCTGAGCCATGCCCTCAGCCCCCTCACTAGAGGATTCTAGGCTGTCACTCTACCCTGAGCCATGCCCCAGCCCCTCACTGGGGGATTCTAGGCTGTCACTCCTCCCCTGAGCCATGCCCTCAGCCCTTTTTTTTTTTGAGCCAAGACCTCTCTGCATAGACCACACTGAACTGAGCTTGTGATCTGAGTGCTGGCCTCCTGGTGTGCCCAGCGAGCCCTGGCTGCAAAACTTAGTTTGAATGGAAGGTCACAGGCATGTCCGCCCTCACTTGAGGTGACAGGGCCTCACTGGAGAATGTCAGCCATCACTTGCAGAGATCAAGAGCTGCTCCTCTGTGCTGCATGAGGGATGATCAATGGCGTGCTGTCTCTGCACTGCACCCTGTCACCACATAGATCTATGTTATATCCTGTCACAGCATGTCCCTTCAGAGCTGAGTGACTCCACGTTGCCCATGACAACCTTCTCAGAAGGGACGTGCCAGCTGTCCAGCAGCTCGAATCCCCATCATGTACAGTGGGCCAGGGCCGAGCTGAACCTGGGCTTCAGTCAGCCTTGCTTTCTCCAGGGCCTCCTGAGTCACAGACAGCACACAGCAAACCTGGAGATAGGCGACCAGCACATCCCAATGCAGAGGCACCCCAAGAACCAGCATCCAGGGGCTGTGAGGACATGGAGCCTGTGGGCCCGGAGTATGTGGAGGAGGTGAGCCCAGACTGCTGGGGTTACTGTGTCCTGCTGCCACAGAGCACAAAGTGTGGTCCGACCTGTGCACAGGGTGACAGGTGGCAGATTTGCCCCAGTGGTCACCTACTCTGCCTTTTGCCCAGTGCTGGGACCTGTGTGCAGGAGCCTGTCACTTGCCTGCGGGGACTGGGTGCAAAGAAGCTGTAGGGATGAGGTTCTTGACAGCCAACAAGGCATCATGGGATGCTCTAGCACCTGAGGGTGGCTTTGGAGGAGGAAGGGACAGGGGAAGTGGGTGCAGGGCCTGGATGACCAGGTCACCTCCCTCAGCAAGCACAGGCCTGTGGTCACATAGGGAGACACAGTATCTGGGTGTCTGGTGTCCTCCAGGACATCCCAGCTGGTGGTTGGGCAGCCATGTTTGTGTCCCAGGTGTGCAACGACGAGGGAAAGGTGATCCGCTTCCGTTGCAAGCTGTGTGAGTGCAGCTTCAATGACTGCAATGCCAGGGACATGCACCTGACCGGGCGCCGGCACCGCCTGCAGTACAGGGTAGGGCCACAGCCACAGCAGGGGTGGGAACATTGTTGACACTGTCACCTGAGGCTCCAGGGTAGGGGAAGGATGGGTGGATGAATAGGTAGATTGGTGAATGGGTGGGTGGGTGGGTGGATGGGTGGTTGGATGCATGAACAGGTAGATGGGTGGGTGAATGGGTAGGTGGGTGTGTGCATATTATAGTCTTCACTTGTCTTTGAAAAGTGTCTACTTTCTGTCCCCTCAAAATCCCTGTCCTTGTGTCTTACTTCCTTTCACTGAGTGCTTTTGGTCAGGAATGATTGTTTTAGTCATTCAAGCAGTGCTGGTGGTTTGAAGTTTGGGCAGGTAGTGTGTCCCCTTCAACGGTTCTTTGAGCAGCGTTCTGTGCTCCTGTAATATACAGGTCTCTGAGTGTGTGGCTGTGTCTGGCTGGTCTCTCAGGTTATCAATGGAAGTCTTAGTTATTTAGACACAACCACAAATCCCCTCAGGAGAATTTCCTGGACGTGTCCTAATTCAGCTGCAGTGAGCTCAGTGTCATGCGCTGACCTCCTCAGGCCCCATTGCCCCATTGTGGTATGGGCTGTGGAGATGGGGGCTGTGAGCCCAAGTCTCTTGGATCCACAGCTGGAGGACATTCTGATGTGGCTGCTCTGCTCCTGTCACATGGCTTCTGGTGTCACCACCTCACTTTTCATTTGCAGAGGAAAGTGGATCCGACCCTCCCGGTGGCCACCAGAGCCAGTAGCCGTGTGCAGAGGGTGCTGGCCGACCGGCTGCAGAGACAGAGGCAGCTGGCGCAGGTGCAGCTTGAGGATGCGAGGTGCTGGAGCTCAGAGCTGAGGTGTCTGTGCATGATGCTCCTGTCTCCAACCCTGGTTCCCCTGACCTGAGGTGTCCCTGCATCCCCCAACCTCCAGAGTCTCCTGTCCAGTTTCCCCCCCTAACTTTGGGCATCCCCATGTCCCCTGACCTTTGATGTCCCCTGTCTACTGTCCCCGGACTTCTGTCCCCATGTGTGTGTCCCCCTGTGGTGCCCACCTTGTGCCAGATGGTTCTGCCTTGCTTGTGGCTACAGGTGGCACAGCTTCTGCCCAGTCCTGGGTGCCCCTGGCTGGAATGGGTCTGCTGGGCTGCCTCGGGCTCCCTGGTGGCCACACAGTCCGGTGTCTCTATCTGGTCCCCACAGGCAGCCAGAGGAGCCACAGCCCCAAAGTGAGGAGCAGCTGCCTGTGTCACCCACCTGGGCCCTACCAGCCCCCATAGCCAGGCCTGGAACAGCCACCACCCGGCGTCAGGTGGGTGTGACACTTGAGGACCCCCTCAGTCCACCCCAGGAGCCAGTCACAGGGCTCAGGACTCTGAGGCTGTCTAGGGTTGGGGGGCCTCAGCCCCCATTCCAGAGAGTGACCTGCCTGGCATCCTGTCACACATCTGTCTGCACTTGGCTGAGTCCAGTCATCCAGAGGCATCTGTCCTGACATGCTGATAGCCCTAAGGCTGGCCACTGCTTAGGGTCACCCTGTTCCTCCCCAGGAGCTGCTCACGTGGCCATGGCCACTGCCCACCAGTCATGGTTCCCTCAGCACCTGCCGCTACCCCAAGGCCAGTTGCGTTGTCCCTAGGCTGCTCAGTGCAAGAAACCCCTTGTTTCCCTCCTTGATGAGAGTGACTGTCTCCACAGCCAGGGCGCCGACCAGAGACTAGCGATGACCGCCATGTCATGTGCAAACACGCCACCATTTACCCCACCGAGGAGGAGCTGCGGGCCGTGCAGACTGCTGTGTCCCATGCCGAGCGGGCACTCAGGCTGGTGTCTGACACATTGGCTGAGGAGAGCAGCCAGGACGGGTAATCAGCTGGCACCAGGCTGGTGGGGCTGTGGGACTGTGAGGGCCACAGGCCTGGTCTCAGCCCAAACCTTTCACCCGTGGATGGTCTGTATGTGGCCTGAGGTGACCCTGGCGACAGCAGCAGGCATGCAGTTCCACCAGTCAGTGTCTGGTAGAGGGGCAGGTCCCTTTTACAAGCTGAGGATACTGAGGGGTGCAGCGCCCCTTTGATCTCTCTGCTGCCCCCCTTCCTGATGATGTCCCCATGGCCCTGTCTCCACAGCAGCCTGTCACCCCCACCACCTCGGATGCTCAAGGGTGTGGTGCGTGTTGGCATCCTGGCCAAGGGCCTGCTCCTGCGGGGGGACCGCAGTGTGCAGCTCACACTGCTCTGCTCCAAGAAGCCCACACGCTCCCTGCTGCACAGGATCGCCCGTGAGCTGCCAAGGGAGCTGCAGGTAAGGGGGCCCTGGCAGGACCTGCACCCCAGGCTCTTGGGCTCCTGGTCAGGGCCTTAAGAAACCAGAGCTTGTGGGGCTGTAGAGATGCTCAGTGATTAGGAGCACTGGCTGCTCTTGCAGATGACCCAGATTTGGATCCCAGCAACCACATGGCAGCAAACAACCACCTATAATTCCAGTTCCAGGGGAATCTGATGCCCTCTTCTGGCCTCCATGGGCATTGCATGACACAGATACACTTATATATATATACAGGCAAACACTCACATGAAATAGAAATAAAATGAAAAAAACATTTTAAGCCAGGCGTGGTGGTGCATGCCTTTAATCCCAACACTCAGGAGGCAGAGGAAGGTGGATTTCTGTGAGTTCAAGGCCAGCCTGGTCTACATAGTGAGTTCCAGGACAGCTGGGGCTACAGGGAGACCCTGTCTCAAAAAGACCAAAAACTAAAATAAAATAATAGGACTAGTCAGGCATAGTAGCGCACACCGTTAGTCCCAGAACTTGGGAGGCAGAGGAAGGCAGGTCTCTGTGATTTGGAGGCCAGTCTGGTCTGCATAGCAAGTTCCAGGCCAGCTGGGCTCCGTGGTGAGCACCTGCGCAGCCTGTGGAACCCTGAGACCAGTCCCCACACTGATAAGAAGCGCTCTCTTGAGGTTTGGATCCAGGGGTAACAGTGACAGCTTAGGGCAGCTTTACCTTTGTGACCACAGGGGTGACCAACATTGTAGTGTAAAAGGGGCTGTTTGTCCCTTTTGTCCGCACTCCGCTATCTCACTCACCAATGATTTCCTATCAGGCCTCGTCTTGTTACTGAATGATGACGGCTCTTTGCTCCTCACAGTGTTCCTGCACGTGTGTACCCTGGCTGTCCCTGACACCTGACACAGGGTCTGGCACCCTGGTAGCAGGCACATGAGGGTAGACACTGGCACACCCGCAGGCGGCGTTCCTTACTCGTGTGCACAGGGCCCTCAGCTAGAGTCATGTGGCCTCGAGTTGCATTTATTCTAGATACTGACGGAGGACAGGTATGAGGTCTCGTCTGACCCTGAAGCCAATATTGTCATATCGGCCCACGAGGAGCCTGGGGTGCAGGTCACCGTGTCCGCCACCTCACCCCTAATGCGGGAGGAACCCACTGCAAAAAGAGGTACAGTCCCCCAACTCCCTGTCCAGAGTTTTTAGTCAGGGCAGCCTTCTTGCATGCTCAGGGATTCAGTGTCTTCTTGTTCCTTCTAGAAGGATTGCAAGATCCTCCAGCAGACCCTGAAGATGTCCTGAGTCGGAAGAGCTGTCTTGAGGCCCTGGCAGCCCTCCGCCATGCCAAGTGGTTCCAGGTCAGGGGTGTGTGGACAGGGGTACAGAGACAGTCGGCAGCCACTGGGCTGGAGCACCTGTGGGACCCTGGGTCAGCTCTGGTCTAGCCTGGGGTGACCGCTGACAGAGTGCCTGTTTCTCACTCAGGCTCGAGCCAGCGGCCTGCAGCCGTGCGTGATTATCATTCGAGTCCTGCAGGAACTGCGCCGTCGCCTGCCCCCCTGGGGTGCCCTGCCCGCCTGGGTAAGTCCTGCCAGAAGGGACCACAAGCCAGCCCTCTGCACAGAGCCTGGCATCCTGGAGTGGGTGGGTAGGACAGGTGGTGGAGGTGTGGGGGGTGAGGGTGTCTCCAGGCTCTGGCCACTGGCCTGTTTGTCTGGCATTACCCTAAACCCCAAATGATTGGTGAAGTCCTTGCCCCATGCAAATTCAGAGGCCCCAGGGAAATGGGTAGCCAACACTCAGACCTCCTGGCATCAGGGTGAGAAACTTGGGCCATCATATGGTTCAACCTGGCCTCGGGGCTTCCTGCTCTGAAGAGGGGAGCCCTAAGTCAATAGAACCCTCAGCTTGTCCCAGCGTGACCTTGTCCCCATCCCTCCAGGCCATGGAGCTATTGGTGGAGAAGGTTCTGAGCAGCGCAGCCCGGCCCCTGAGCCCTGGGGATGCTGTGCGCCGTGTCCTGGAGTGTCTGGCCACGGGAACTCTCCTTACAGGTCAGGGCCTGGCACAGGTGGGCAGGCTGGGGGTGGGCAGCAGAGCCCGAGGCCACCCACTCTGTCCAAGAAGAGAGGGTCAGGCCCTCCATTGAAACAGTGGTCCACAGCCTGCAACTCAAGGGCAGTGGCCCTGTCACCACCCACCCCCCAGGGCACAAGAACTGAGGATGACCAGGACTTGGGGTCTCTGTCATCCCCAAGCTAAGACCAGCCACTGTCTCCTATGGATCAGGACACCTAGTGCTTGCTAAACCCACATGCATTTGAATAATGACACATCAGAACTCAGCAGGTTCACAGTAGTGAGCCACACTGTGAGGACTGGGGCTGGAGCTCAGTGGGCCAGAGTGCTTGTAGCTCAGAGGATAGAGTGCTTGTAGCTTAATGGGTAGAGTGCTTATGTGAATGAATGCTTGTAGCTCAGTGGGTAGAGTGATTGTAGCTCAGTGGGTAGAGCGATTGTAGTTCAGTGGGTAGAGCGATTGTAGCTCAGTGAGTGCAGTGTTTGCTGCTCAGTGGATAGAGCACTGACCTGGCAGGCATGAGGCCCCATCAGGTTCATCCCAACACCACATAAACCAGGTGTGGTGACGTGCCTGTCATCCCAGCACTGGTGAAGGTGAGGCAGGAAGATCAGGAGTTCACCCTCAGCTAAGGAGTTCAGAGACAGAAAGTGGTACTGTACCCTCTCCCCAGGGGACAGAACTGGCCTGGGAAAGGTGTCCCTGGGGCTTTCAGAGGCATGGCTAATTCTGAGTGGGGAAGAGGGTCAAAGGTCAGGTCTATCACTTGGGCATTTTTTTGTAATCACACAGGCTAGGATGCACACACATGTAAAAGGACCCTGGGGGCCATAGGGGACCCCTGCATACCCCAAAAGAGACCCTGTGCCACCAAAGGCAGGCCTGGCCTAATGTGGACCACGGGATGGCACATGTGGCAGATTCAGGTACAGACTGTGTGGACTGTATGGCCACACAAGCCTCTTACCAGGCTGTCCACCCTCTCCTGGTTCAGATGGCCCAGGCCTGCAGGACCCATGTGAGAAAGACCCACAAGATGCTTTGGAGCCCATGACCCCACAGCAGAGAGAGGACCTGACGGCCAGTGCACAGGTACGAGGGTCCCCAAACCGGTCCTGCAGAGAGGAGGCCCAGAGTAGTGGGCGCCTCTGAGGGCAGTGCCAGCCTGGGCTGCACAATGAGACCCAGCTCAAAAAAAGTAATGACCAGCACTGAAGCTCAGTGGGTAGAGTGATTGTAGCTCAGGGGTAGAGTGCTCACCTTGCATACACCAGGCCCTGGGTTCATCCCCAGAACCCCATAAATCAGGTGTAGTGGCTCGCACTTGTCATCCCAGCACCCGGGAGCTAGAGACAGGAGCATCAGGAGTTCAGGGTCATCCTCATCTACATAGTGAGTTCGAGAACAGCCTGGGCTACATGAGAGCCCACAAAACAGAAGCTCTACCACAGTCATGAAAGTGGCTCAACACAGGGTTTGTAGTCCTGTGACCAGGTAAGAGAAGTGGTACATCCGGGGGCTCCAGGCCAGCATCCAGCCTGGAGTGACCTTCCCTAGGGGCCGAATTCTGGGACCTGCCATAATGGGAAGGCGGGGAGCAGCCTGAGCCCCCAGGCCTGGTTTTTGGTGCCTGGCTATCCGTGCTCATGGGCCATGTTGTCTGCAGCATGCCCTGCGCCTCCTGGCTTTCCGCCAGATCCACAAAGTCCTTGGCATGGAGCAGCTGCCCCCAAGGAGCAGATTTGGGGCTCGGGCTCGGAAGAGGATGCGGGAGGCTAGCCAGGCCCAGGAAGTCTCTGGAGAGAAGCGAGGCCGGCCAGGCACAGCAGGGCTGCCATGATCCAGCCATCACAGCACATCCCCATGCCTGCGCAGGACAGGGCTGCTGGGCTACAGCTACTCAACCATTGCATCTGTAGGTTCATTCACTACACTGTGGGATCCCCCAGGGGTGGCTCCCACACCCATGGCCCTGGTCCCCTCAGCAAGGCCACCCAGTGACCTTCACACCCCAGTCTTGGGACTTAAACTCCCCTATGACATCCAGAGCAAGTAGGATCTATAAGCAGAATGCCAAGGAAGGAAACCTGGAACTTTCTAGAAGTCCTAGAGTTGGCGGGGGGAGCGGTTACAGAGCTGGATCCCCAAACTCCCAACCCAACCAAGTCCCTCAGACAGACACTTCAACTCCCCTCCAGCTGTGAGGACACAGCTAGGGGCCCCCAGGATGTCATCACCTAACCCCACAGTGGGATCCCCACCCCAGACCCTGCCACCCCATCACTGAGTGCCTTGCACAGACAGGGCCTGCGCTGCCCCACATTACCCTGTGGACTTCAGGGCATGGGGTGCAGCCCTGCCCTGTACCCCTCCTGCAGCCCTCCACCCTTGCAGCCCCCAATGGCATTCAGAGAAAAGGCCACCCATGGATCCCAGGCTTCCAATACACTCCATTCCATCTGTGGACTTGAATGCCAGTCCCGTGTGGCTCAGCAGCCCAACATCTCTAGAACCATCCAGAAATCGGGCTGGGGTAGAAATAAAGGAGCTCTGCCCAAGTGTGGCTGTGTGTCCCTCACTTCAGCTGTGCATATGAGGAGGGGTGACGGGTTCCTGCAGTCTCCCTGTCACCTTCTCACGTCCCAAGCTCCCCACTCCCTCCCCAGCTGAACCCCAAGTCTAAGAAGGCCTTATCAGAATCCACCTGCTCCCCTTCCCTCTGCCCCAGCCTGGTCTCACTGCAGCCCCAGGATGTTTGCACCTGCCACCCTCCCCGTCCTTCCGGCCTCTTCTGGGGGCTACCTGCCACACTGCCGTATCCAGTGTCCACCTCAGATGAAGTCATGAAAAGGACATTGAGCCCCCTGTGGACAGGAGGCACGTCTGCCTGTCCAGGAAGTCCCAGGTGTGAACAGGACAGGCCACCCACCAGTGACTCAGTGAGGAAATTTCTTACCAGGGTGTCCAGGGCCCATGTCCCTGCGACTGGTTACAGAGGACGATGGTTAACCACAGCTCAGCTCATAGGGAGGGGACAGGAAGCAGGACCCGCGGTGGCCAGGCAAGGTGGCAGGTGAACAGGACAGAGGCCCACTGCACTATACTCCAGGCATGGTCCCTCCACTAGCCACAGGCCCAGCCCTGTCTCCCCGAGAGGGGAGATCAGTGTACACCAGGTGACAAAGAGTTAAGTTGGACCCGCCTAGCAACCCCAAACCACGGGACGAGAGACAGCAAAATCTAACATTTGGTGAGCTCAGAATTCAGCTCAGATGGCGCTCCGTCTGTGTGATGGAGCTGGAGCCTTGAACAGCCACAGCATCTGACCTTCCCTCCTCCATCCTGGTCCCCACGGTGCAGGGGACCCCGAAAGAGACCAGCAGGGGTGGGGCAGGACCACCCGGACCCCAAACTAGTCAGGAAGCCAGATTCCCGCCCCAGGGCGCTAGCAGCATCCCTCCCCCAGAAGCTGGACCAGGCCACCGAAGCAGGAGAGCGTTGCCAGGAGACAAGGTGAGTGTGGGTGGATGACGCAAGCGTGTGGGCGGGGCTGCAGCCGATCTGGCAGGAGGGGTCGGGAACCGAAGCCCTAAAGGGAAGGGCACTCCTGCCACCTGCATGTGTAAGGTTACTACTCACCCCCGGGAAAGATGGAGGGATCCTGGGCGGTGTCTCCAGCTCAAAATAACAGGCAGCAGGAGGAGACTGGGGAACAGAAACCACTCTCCACCCCCGTGTTCACTGACATTTTGAAAAGAAAATACCAGGAAATGGATATTTGCACACTCATGTTCAGTGTGATTCACATAAACGAAATACTTGTCCAGGGATGAGCGGGCACACATGGCAAGGACCAGCCGCCCTGGAATATTGCACAGCCATGAACGGCATTCTGACACCAACAGGGATTGTTCCCCAGGGACACGGTATCTGTGACAGGAGCCAAACAGACACTCCAGAGAGGTTCCCCACAGACAGGAAGTGGGGACTGAAGAGTGCATGAAGTTGGTGTGGAAAGGGGAGCACGGCTTCAGTGTGTGAAGATGGAAGGTTCTGGAGGTGGCTCCCTGCCACCAAGCTGTGCACAGAAGCATGCATAAAATGCTGATGATTATATCATAGGTATTTTATTCCATTTAAATATTCTAATGTGTTAGGTTTGTCCTATTAGGAAAAAAAAAGTGCCGGGCATGGTGGCCCACGGGTTTAGTCCCAGCACTCAGGAGGCAGAGGCAGGCAGATCTCTGTGAGTTTAAGGCCAGCCTGGTCTACATAGCGAGTTCCAGGACAGCTGGGGCTACAGGGAGACCCTGTCTCAAAAAGACCAAAAAAGAAGGGAAGGAAGGAAGGAGGGAGGGAGGGACGGAGGGATGGAGGGATGGAGGGACGGAGGGAGGGAAGTGAGGAAGGAAGGAAGGGAAAAAATGTGAAAAATTAGAAAAAATGGGAAAAAGGAAAGTGCTAAAGTCTATTCGCCACCAGTTTCTTTTAAACTTTAGTTATTTTATGTTGGGGGTGGGCAGCAAGCATGCTGTGATTGTGTTTGGAGTTCAGGGGACAACTTGTGGGAGTCAGTTCTCTCCTACCACGTGGGTCTCGGGGATCAGACTCAGGTCATCAGGCTTAGCTGCAAGCCCCTTTACCTGCTGAGCCATCTTGCACACTCCAGTATCTTGTGGTTCTTGTGATTTGTTTTGTTTTTTTTAAACTTTTAAAAAATATATTTTATTTATTATTTTCATTTTATGTGTGAGTGTACTGCCTGCATGTATGTGAGTGTACCCATGTTGTACAGTGCCTCAGAGGTCAGAAGAGGGCTTCGGATTCCCTTGGAATTGGAGTTAAGGACAATTTGTAGCCTCCATGTGGGTGCTGGGAATCGAACCCAGGTCCTCTGCAAGAGCAGTCAGTGCCCTTAACCACTGAGCCATCTCTCCAGGTCCTCTTGTTTGTTTGTTTGTTTGTTTGTTTGTTTGTTTGTTAATATTACTATTGCTTTTTTCTTTTTTGGGACAGGGTCTCCCTATATTCCCAACTGACCTGGAATGTGCTACATAGCCCAAGTTGGCCTTGATCTCACAGATCTGTCTGCCTCTGCTTCCCAAGTACTGGGATTAAAGACAAGTGTCACCACATTGGGCTATGCCTTGGTTTTTTTCAATACCAATGGTAGTAATGTGTATATACCATTTTGATTCCCCAGACATAAAATAATAACTCTGATTATTTCCTGGTTATTGTGTACTTAGTGTATCATGATTGAAAGTTTGTGACCAGCCGGGCTTCGTAGTGAGACTGTCTCATAAAATAATAATAAAAGAAAAATGAAGCCAGGTGTGGTGACATCCCAGCACTTGGGAGACCGAGGCAGGTGGGTATCTGTGAGACTGAGGCCAGCCTGAGTTACATCATGAGACCCTGTCTTGATGAGACTCTTCCAGGCAATGCTAAGCTGTGTTCACAAAGCTGAACAGCTTATTTATGTATTTGTAACATAGAGAGGTGGTGAGTGCACACGGCAGTGGGGGGCCAGGGAGGGCTCCTGGGAGACACAGTAGCCATGCAAAGGCCCTGGAGCTGGGCTGTGGCCTGAGGTGGCAAGGAAGGTAGGAAGGGGCCAGAGAGATGGCAGCTGAAGGAGCCAGGGCAAGATCAGGGAGCAGAAAGGGAGCCCTGGGGTAGATAGGGTGGGCCCCAGCAAGGAGCTCAGCCATGCCCTCCCTCTGTCCGGCCAGAGCTATGGGGCAAAGCTAAAGTGGATCCAGCAGCCCAGCTTTGTATACAATGCCCAGCTCGTTTTGTTACTTATTTATTTATTTATTTATTTATTTATTTATTTATTTATTTATATTTTTGAGACAGGGTCTCCCCGTAGCTGCAGCTGCCCTGTAACTAACTCACTACATAGACCAGGCTGGTCTTGAACTCACAGAGATTTGCCTTCCTCTGCCTCCCGAGTGCTGGGACTAAATGTGTGGGCCACCTCACCTGGCCTTCAGCTTTGCCTTTAATAAGAGCACCACGGACTCAGGGAAACCAACCTCCCAACAGAGTGCCTCAAAGCAGACAGCCCGCCCCCCCAAAGACACCCATGCAAGCAATAACAAGGTGGCCAGCACACTGCAGCTGCCTCCCAAAAAATAAGGGCCAGTTTCCTAAAAAGATCCTCACTGGATCTTGAGGTCCCCCAGCACAAGGAGCAAAGCTAAATTTAAAGGCTAATTGGAGCATAGAGATCCGGCCAGGAGTGCCAGCTGGGAATAGGCGGGCAGTCAGCGATTTCCACAGGAACCACATGACTCAGATATCCCCAACCTGTTGGCAGCCCTGACCAACAGTAGCAATCTTTGAAGCCTCCGTTTGCACATCTGCAAAATGGGCTCAATGAATTCTCAGTGCACAAGGGACAGGAATGGAGTGCCAAGCCCTCCGTGTTACTTTTTTTTTTTTTAATCTGTTTTGAAAGCCAGGCATGGTGGCCCATTCTCTGTCATCCCAGCATTAGGGAGGCTTAGGCAGGAGGATCTCGGGTTTGAGGTTAGACTGTGTTTTGAGTGAAACTTTGTCTTAAAACAAGCTAGAAGGCATTTTAGAGTCATTTATTTAAGACAGAGTCTCATGTAGCCCAGACTGGCCTGGATCTCACTATGTAGCTGAGGATGACCTGAACTCCTGATCCTCCTGCCTCTACCTCCCTAGTGCTGGGATGAGAGGTGTGCGCCATCATGCCTGGTTTATGTGGCGATGGGGATGGAACCCAGGACCTTGTGTGTGCTAGGCTAGCTTTGCCCACTGAACCAAAAGCACTCCACCAACTCAGCTATAAGCACTCTACCAACTCAGCCACAAGCAATATACCCACTGAGCTACAACCCCAGCCCTGTTAGGGCATCATAGATGTCTCCAGACTGTGTGCACAGGTCCCAGTTGAGCAGCTGGTCTCATGGGAGAGGTCTGTGGCAGAGGCTGAGGTGGCAAGGGCTTCCTGGTGCTGTGGTTTCCGTGTCTTGACAGGTTTATTTTAGGCTGTGACCATTTGTCAAAGGTGAGTCCCTGGTGTCCCTGGAATAGCAGACATTAGGTCCCTGAGAAGTGGGTGTGCCTCACTCCAGACTGTCCCCCAGCCAGCTCCATGAAGACGGTGCACAAGGAGACATTGTTGTCCGAGACATTTGCTTCAGATAGTGTCTGGACCTTCCATCCTCCTGCCTCAGCCTCCCCAGAACCCAGAAATCACAAGTGTGCAGCACTTAACCCCACCGAGACTCTCATTTCAATGCACACAGTTTTCCAGCTTGTTTAGTGACAGGGTCTCATAGCCCACGCTGACCTTGAACTCCTGATCCTCCTGCCCCCATCTCCCTAAAACTGGGATGACAGGTGGGTCACAAGCTACAAGCACTACCAACTGAGCTACAAGCACTCTGCTCATTGGGCTAGAGCCACAGCCCCTACTTTCTGTCCTTCACGAATCTACAGGTATGAACATAGACATTTAGAAGGCAGTTTGACATGACCATTTAGCAAGCGTGCTATGTTCCCCGGGAACTGGGACCCTCAGCCCCAGGCTTCTGATCAGGTCCATAGCACCAGACAGAAACTCCCTCCCTGGAGACCAATGGAAGAGTGACTGGGGACCCATTTCTCCGGGCACCTGTCCACAGTGCAGCCTCAGGGCCAGTGATGGGGACACCCTGGATGTCTTTTCTCCCCTGCAGCCTGTAGAAGCTTCCAGACCTGTGAAAGCTAGCCAGCAGGGATGGGGTTTCCTGGTCAGTGTGGGCTTGATTTCTCAGTATCATTTGACCAAAGCAAAAGCTGTTTCAGCAACAGGGTCTTAGCGTCTAGTTCTGATGGGTAACTAAGGGCTTCTTGACTGATGGTTCATAAGGCCTATCTCACACCTGGCACTGGAACTTGTTTTTTTTTTTTTGTCTTTTTGAGACAGGGTCTCCCTGTAGCCCCAACTGTCCTGGAACTTACTATGGAGACCAGCTGGCCTTGAACTCACAGAGATCTGCCTGCCTACCTCTGCCTCCCAAGTGCTGGGATTAAAGGCGTGAGCCACCATGCCTAGCTGGAACATTTTTAATATTATTAATATTAATATTTAATATTAATAAAATTATTTTGTGTATATGAATGTTTGCCTGCATGTAAGTGCACCACATGCATGCAACGTCCACAGGTCAGAAGAGGATGCCAGATCTCCTGGAATTGGGGTTGCTGTTACCCGCCATGTGGGTGCTGGGAAATGAACCTGGGTCCTCTCTCTGCAAGAGCAGCCAGTGCTCCTAGCTGCTGAGCAGCCTCTCCCCTGGAACTTTTTTTTTTTTTTTAATTTAAGACAGGGTCTCCATGTAGCTCCAGCTGGCCTAGAACTTGCTTTGTAGACCAGGCTGGCCTCCAACTCACAAAGATCCTCCTGCCTCTGCCTCCCAAGTGCTGGGATTGAGGGCATGCACCACCACACCCAGCTGTCCTGGAACTTTTAATAACCTATGCCTCTGGGGGGGGAGTGTGTCCACTGGGGCAGAGTCCTCTGTTCAAATTTGGCTCTAACACTGAGCTGCCCCCAGCCCTCTTTCTACTTTAAATTTTTTCTTACATTTATTTAGTTATTTATGTGTATATATGCCTGGCACAGTAGAAATATGGAAGTCAAAGGCTAACTGGGGAGGCCCGTTCTCTCCCTCCACCATGTTGGCTCCAGTGATTCAAACTCAGGTCTTCAGGCTTCAGGGCAAGCCCCTGTACCTGCTAAGCCCTCTCACTGGCCCTTTCACTTTAATTTTTAAAATTATTTTGGTGGGGGCTGGAGAGATGGCTCAACGATTAAGAGCACTGAATGCTCTTGCAGAAGACCCACGTTCAATTCCCAGCACCTACATGGCACAAACCTTCCTTAACTTCAGCTCCAGAGGAATCCTAAGCCCTTTTCTGACCTCCGCGGCATTGCAAGACACAGGTGCACTCACATCCATGCAGGCAATACACTCATACACATAAAATTAAAATAATAAATATAAAAAATAAAAAAAAATTTTTTTTGTCTTTTTGAGACAGGGTCTCCCTGTAGCCCCAGATGTCCTGGAACTCACTATGTAGACCAGGCTGGCCTTGAACTCACAAGTGCTGGGATTAAAGGCCTGCACCACCACGCCCGGCAAGATTGTTTTTTAAAGACAGTCTTACTATGTAACCCAGCGGACATGGAATTATCTATGTAGGCCAGGCTGGCCTCGATCTCACTGAGATCTGCCTGCCTCTGCGTCCGGAGTGCTGGGATGACAGAGTGAGACTGTGCAGGGTGTGGCTGGCATTTCTCTTAAGGGGTGTGTGCGTGTCTGCATGCGGCCCCTGTTCTGCATTCCCAGTTCCCATTTTTCCCCGGGGCTGGGTAACCAGAGGCCAGGGCTCCAGCGAGGACCCCAAGAGCACCCAGCACCCAGCAGGGGCTCGGGCTGCGCGGGGAGGTGGAGCCGGGAGGAGACACGCTCACGTAGTACGGCCGGCGCTAGGACCCGCGGGGGCTTCCCAGCCGGGTCCCCTCCATCCTCCCTCCCTCCCTCCCTCCCCAAAATGAGGAAACGGTGGAACTTGCTCCGAGTTGAGCCTCGGGGTGCACAGCCTGCTGGCGGGGGACCCTCCTGGGGGCGCGCACAGGGCGTGCCCTGAGCAGGTGAGCTGCGTCCGCAGGGATGGAGGGGAAGGACCGCCCCCTGAGGATGATCCTGAACCCTGAGGTGAGGGAACACCCAGATGTGCCCTAGAGCGACCGGGATGCCTGCAGATGGGTTTTTCCCGGGTGCGGTGCGCGTTCCTGAGTTTCCCCGCCGGGCCACTGCATGGACCGTGTGTGACCGGGCAGGCACAGGTGCACACGGCCCCCCAGGTTCCGTGTCGCGCGCAGTCGCACACACGGGTGGCGGGGTGCACACTTGTCCCCAGATGCACGTGCGCCTCCGCCTGCGCACCCTGAGTCCCAGCCCCAGGCGCCCTGTATGGTTGTGTTGCTCATCTGCAATCTTCAATGTGGGCCTGGGGACTTGAGGGGAGACAGAAACGCACCCTAGACCTGCCCTGGGTTCTCACTGCCCAGCTACCTGTCTGGGGGAACACGAGAGGCACATCTGGAGTTGCAGCTGGAGTCTGGGCCACATGGGGGACTTTTGCTCTGTCCCTGCTGAAGAATCTTCCAGATACTTCCTTGGTGACTCCCGGTGACACCCTGCGCGCCCTGGGCTCCACTCCAGGGTCAGATTCCCAGGAATGACCTTGAATCACCACCCCAGGCCACTGCCCAGGAAGGAGGAAGTGGAGGCCCAGCTGGGTAGCACCTTCCCACCCACATACTGTGCTGGCTCTGCCGCCTGAGTCATCAGATCCCTCTACTTCTGGCCCCGTGCCTCAGTTTCCCTTCCTGAGCAATGGCGGGGCAAGGCTTCAGGGTCCCTTGGCTGGCGTTAGATAGCTTGGATGCCAAGGCTCTTTCCCGGGTAAAGTCAAGGGCTTTAGAGGGGACCAGTCTCCCAGCCACCCCAAGGGATGCTTTGGGGAGGTCTCTGCTTCTTTCCTGTAGATCCAGTGGAAGGAACTAGACTTGGGGAACCCCCTCCCACTAGAAGATAGCCTGACACTCTCTTCTCCCCAGGTGAGCCCTCACTTCCTCCGAGCCTGGCACCCCCAGCCTGCTGCAGCTAGGATGCCAACCGTGAGTGTGGGGGTCCTGGGGCCCCAGAACTTTGCCAACTGCCCCATCATGTGGGAAGTGGGACCCCTGGGGCTCAGTGTGCCCGAGGGCTGCACCCACCGACGGCCCCCCAGGTCTTCGCTAGATCATGCGCCCCGGCCTCTATGTGTGGCTGATGGAACCAAGCACTGTCCACCTTCTAAGCAAGTCTGTTTTTTACTTTCATCTTTCTCTCTCTCTGCCTTTCGTAGTCTGGGAACAGAACCCAGGACCTTTGCAAATGTTACAGAGCACCTACCACTGAGCCACACCCTGAGTCTTTTTTATTTATTTTCTTATTATTTTCTTATTATTTTGAGACACAGTGTCCTTGTAGCCCCAGCTGGCCTGGAACTATGTAGCCCAGTCTGGCCTTGAACTTGCTATGTAGCCCAGCTGGCTATCACACCTGGTCCTTTTATTTTATGTGTATGAGTGTTTTTAATTTATTTTTATTTTTTGAGTGTTTTGCCTGCATATTTGTTACGTGCACCACATGCATGCAATGCCCACAGAGGCCAGAAGAGGGCATCAGATCTCCTTGAATTGGAGTTACAAACAGTTGTTAGCCTCCATGTGGGTGCTGGAAACTGAACCCGGGTCCTCTGCAAGATCAGCCAGTGCTCTTAACCGCTGAGCCAGCTCTCCAGCCCCTTTTCATTTTAATTTGAAGACAGGGTCTCCCTCTGTAACCCAGGCTGGCCTTCAGCTGGTCTGGAATTCCCCTGCCTCAGTCTCCCGAGAGCCAGGCCTAAATCTCATCCACCCCCTCATCCTCTCTCTTGTCCCTGTCCTGCCCGTTGGTGTTTTCTGTCTCTGGTCTCCCTGGCCTTCTTTCCTTCTTTCTTGGATGTCATCCCCCTGCCTCCTTCTCTCTTCCAGCGGCGCTGGGCCCCAGGGACTCAATGTATGACCAAGTGTGAGAACTCACGCCCCAAACCTGGCGAGTTGGCCTTTCGTAAGGGCGACATGGTGACCATCTTAGAGGCCTGCGAGGTGAGTGGAGAGTCCCTGGGTGTGGGGCAGGTATGGAGTGCACCTGTGGGTGCTAGGATAGGTTACCTATGGCTCTGTCCCTTTCCCTTGGTAGAGCAAAAGCTGGTACCGTGCCAAGCACCACAGCAGCGGGCAGGAGGGACTGCTGGCAGCCGGGGCGCTACGGGAGCGTGAGGCTCTGTCTGCAGACCCCAAGCTCAGTCTCATGCCGTGAGTGGTGGCCCTGGTGCACATGGGGGGTGATAGCATCGTGTCCCCAGCCGCTCTGTGCCCCCCACCTGGCATCCTGTCTCTGCAGATGGTTTCATGGTAAGATCTCAGGCCAGGAGGCAGTTCAGCAGCTGCAGCCCCCAGAGGACGGGCTGTTCCTGGTGCGGGAGTCCGCGAGACACCCAGGTGACTATGTCCTGTGTGTGAGTTTTGGCCGGGACGTCATCCACTACCGTGTCCTGCATCGAAATGGCCAGCTCACCATCGACGAGGCTGTGTGTTTCTGCAATTTAATGGACATGGTGGAGGTGACCTGTTGGGGAAGGCTGGGACCAGGCAGATGGGGAACACTAGCATTGTTTCCAACAGGATACAGAGGGTGGGTCCCTGGGAGCCATAGACCCATAAGTGGCCCAAGCCACCCAGCTTCTACCTCTAGGACTGGGGTCACCCCTTCCCGGGAGCCCCAGGTTGATGGTAAATCCACAGATGTGCCCCTCCGCATCCATCATACACCCCTGTTGTTTCCATGGAAACCAGCACATCTTAGCTTGGTACCCTCAAGAGGCAAGGGGCAGGAAGGGGTGGGAACAGGGGTTCCGGAGCTGCAGTCCAGCTCCTGGCCCCTGCTGGTCCCCACAGCACTATAGCAACGACAAGGGAGCCATCTGCACCAAGCTGGTGAAACCCAAGAGAAAACAGGGTGCCAAGTCGGCCGAGGAGGAGCTGGCCAAGGGTATGGCTGCCCCAGGGAGAGGGGACCCCTTACTCACATCAATCCACTTCTTGGCCTCAGGCCTCAGCCTCCCCCTCCCAGCCTCTCCTTCCAACCCCAGCCTCCTGACCAAGCCCTTAGTCTAGCCTGTGGGCTCTGGAACCTCGGAAACAGTCCCAGCGCAGAGCGTGATGCTGTAATAGAGTCTTCAGGTGTGGGACTAAAGAAGGCTGGGGAGGAAGAGGACATCCTCAGAGCCAATTGCAGGGTTTTCCAGAGCACACAGGGGCCCTAGGGACAAGGGCTCAAGGAGACCACAGCCCTGGAAGACTCTGGAATCTTTCCTAGAAGGTTCCAAAATTTTTGTGGCTCTCCATATTCATTGTCCCTTTTGCTGTGTGTTCCTGGGAGATAATGGTCAGGATGGGAAGACCCTGTCACAGAGTTGGAGGGAACACAAGGGCACCATGGTGCCTGACCCCAGCCCACAGCCAAGGCTGGATGGGGGAACAGGGCAGAACTCAGCTGTGAAGACAGCCACCAGTCCAGGACAGCCTGTATCTTGCAAGAATGTACTTAGTACCAGGAGTGGGGTGTCTGGAATATAGACTGTGGTGACTGCTGGGACGGGCAGGCACATGCCTGTGGCTGGGGCAGGTGGGGACATCACACCATGTCTTGTCTGGTGCAGTCTGCGTGGGAAGGTCAGGGCATGCATCCCCCATGACTGGGTCCTGTTGTCCCTGCAGCCGGCTGGTTACTGGATCTACAGCACTTGACCCTGGGGGCACAGATTGGTGAGGGAGAGTTTGGAGGTGAGAAATGGGGGTGCAGAAGGGGGATGCTGCTCCCACAGGCCCGTCACCTCCCAGCCAGGGGGCAGAGGACAGACAGGGCTGCTCTTCACTGTCCCCCACTTTGTCAGCCATCCTCAGCCTTTTAGAATCACCTATACAGCTCTACCGGGAAAGCCTGTTATTTTGTAGGGTTCTGGGCTTAGGTCAGAAACAGCAGATGGAAAAATGCACTGGTGTCTGAACTGTGACCTGTCCCTAGCCTGATGCTATGCAAATGCCTGGCCAAGACTTCTGTGGTTTTTTATGGCACAAGAATTTGAATTCTGAATAATGAGGACATGTTGGGAGATAGTCATCATATCTGACTCACTTATCTTTATAGTACTGTGAAGTTTAAGCCAAGGCCATCTTATCTGCACACATGGCCAAGGCTCAACTCCTGAGCCACGCCCCCAGCCCCTCACTGGGGATTCTAGGCTGTCACTCTACCCCTGAGCCACATCCCCAGCCCCTCACTGGGGATTCTAGGCTGTCACTCTACCCCTGAGCCACATCCCCAGCCCCTCACTGGGGATTCTAGGCTGTCACTCTACCCCTGAACCATGCCTCCAGCCCCTTACTGGGTGTTTCTAGGCAGTTGCTTGTGTCTGTCTGTCCCTCCTGAGCTCTGTCCTGTCCACAGCCGTCCTGCAGGGTGAGTACCTGGGGCAAAAAGTCGCTGTTAAGAACATCAAGTGTGATGTGACAGCGCAGGCCTTCCTGGATGAGACAGCCGTGATGACGTGAGTGCCTGGGTGGATAGGGGAGGGGTCCTGAGTTTGGGGTCCCAGGTGTGATCGCCCTTCCTGCTCCCCACCCCAGGAAACTGCAGCACCGGAACCTGGTTAGGCTGCTGGGTGTCATCCTGCACCATGGCCTGTACATTGTCATGGAGCACGTGAGCAAGGTACAGGGGACACGTGGCGAGAGGTGGGTGCAGTCAGGCAAGGGGGTGTGTGTGGCCTGACAGCCTGGAGATTCCCCAGGTCCCTCCCCCAAACAGGGCAACCTGGTGAACTTCCTGCGCACGCGGGGCCGCGCTCTTGTGAGCACTGCTCAGCTCCTGCAGTTTTCTGTGTAAGTGCAGTTCCTTGCAAAGATCTAGGGGGGAAACGGACCAGCCAGGTTGTAGGGCGAGCCTGCCTTGTCCCTCCCCAGGCACGTGGCTGAGGGCATGGAGTACCTAGAGAGCAAAAAGCTGGTCCACCGGGACCTGGCCGCCCGCAACATCCTAGTATCCGAGGATTTGGTGGCCAAGGTCAGTGACTTTGGCCTGGCCAAGGCTGAGAGGAAGGGGCTGGACTCTAGCCGGCTTCCAGTCAAGTGGACAGCACCTGAGGCTCTCAAGAATGGGGTGAGCCCCTTTCCACCTCTCCCTGGGGATTTGGGGTTCCTTGGAACAAGCTTGTTGCCCCAGTTATGCTGTGTGACCTTGAGCCTGTTGCTTGACCTCTCTGAGCCTGCAAGAGAAAACTGCCTGCTGCTCTGGAAAGCTGTAGGATTCCTGTGATTGACTGATTGAGACAGAGTCTCCCTGTAGCTCCAGCTAGCTTGAAACTCACTATATAGACTAGGCTGGCCTCCATCTCAAAGAGAGCTGCCTGCCTCTGCCTCCCAGGTGCCAGGGTTAAAGGTGTGCACCATCACACCCAGTGCCATAGGATTCCTTTCAGTGTCTCAGTTTCCCCATCTCTGTGGGCGTGGGCCTAACACGGAACAGAAGGCTTTAGCCAGGGATTGTGTCCAGTGAGTCAACACAGGAGGGCTTCTTGGGGGAAGTCAGGCAGGAAGCCTAAGGGCACCCTTCCTCACCCTAATCTCTGGCCCCTCATAGAAGTTTTCTAGCAAATCTGACGTCTGGAGTTTTGGGGTGTTGCTGTGGGAAGTTTTCTCATATGGAAGAGCACCGTACCCCAAGATGGTAAGCCCTGGGCCCTGGGGAGTGGGGTAGCCTCTGTATCCAGTGGCTGTGCCACATACCCTCTGTCCACAGTCGCTCAAGGAGGTGTCAGAGGCCGTGGAGAAGGGGTACCGCATGGAGCCCCCTGAGGGCTGCCCAGGCCCTGTGCACACCCTCATGGGCAGCTGCTGGGAGGCTGAACCTGCACGCCGTCCACCCTTCCGAAAAATAGCTGAGAAACTGGGCAGAGAGCTGCGCAGCACAGGCAGTTCTGGCCCCGTCGGGGGACACGAGGCTGATGGCTCAGCTCCACTCCGGAGCCAGGACCCCTGACCTCTGGGGCCTGGACCAGGACAGAGATGCAGGGATGCGGGATGAGGAGGACCCACACAGGATGAGTCTGTGTGCAGGATCTGTGCATCCCTGGGTCCCCCACAACCAGGACACAGTGACCCCCATAAAGACCTATTGGAAGGACTTTGTATGTCTGTACCTGTGACGCCCATGTGTCCTCTACCCACCTGTCTTGGCATAGTACTCTGGGCAATGGCTCTCAGAGAAGTGGGGCTGCTCCTGAACCCCCACTTTGCAGGCTGTGTCCCTCCTACTCACTGTGCCATCCCTGTGATGCTGGAAGCCCACATGATGACAAGTGAGACCTGCAACTGTCAGCCCAGAGTCCCCAGTGTCCTCTGCCTCTGTGGGCCCAGCCTGCACCTGTCCCTGCCCTGTGGTGTCTGCCTCCCTAACACTGCAGGGAACAGCCAGGCTGGGGACCCACTTACTTCCCATCAGCCTCCAGGGCCAGTGTCCTCTCCCAATACCTCTTGTAATCCCTAGTAGACCGTGCCCTGCCTGCCTGTCCCAGCACTCAGAGGCAGAGGCAGGTGGATCTCTGTGAGTTTGAGGCTAGCCTGGTCTACATAAAGAATTCCAGGCCAGCTTGGGCTATATAGCGAAACCAGTCTCAAAAAGAAAAAAAAAAGAAGCCCAACTCAGCAAGCACCAGTCCCTTCCTGTGTGTGGGTACAGACCACATCCCGGATGAGCACTGAATGCAAGGGATGTCCTGTCACAGAGGGCACCTGAGGCTCAGGGGCAGCAGGATGCTCAGAACAGGTGGCAGAGTCAAGATGGGACCAATACTTTGGGGATCCAAAGCCAGGGGTGTTTTCTTGCACTGAGGCAGGGACCCTGCTTCAGGGCCGGCTGGGAAGTAAAACCCATTTAAGCTCTGCTGCTTAAATCTCCACAGCTTCGAGGAAACATCACTAAAGTCACCTGGGGAGCAGAGGGGCTACTAAACTGACAGCTCACAGTCCTTTATCAAGGACACTGAAGTAGGCACTCAGGGCAGGAATGTGGAGGCAGGAACTGAGGCAGAGATCAGGAGGCAAGCTGCTCACTGGCTTGCCCAGCACCCTCTGACACAGCCTAGGCCCACAGTGAGTTGGACACCCACTTCAATCAGCAATAAAGAAAATGCCTCACAGACAGGGCCACAGGCCAGACCAATAGAATTAATTCTCCAACTGAGGTTTCCTCTTCCCAGGTATCAAGTAGAAAACTAAAGTAGCCAGCACACTGTTCAGAGAGAGGCACAGGAAAAGGAGATTGTGCATACACCCAGCACACGAGCCAACCAAGACTCATCCACCACCCACACAGACCACTAACACACACATCCATCTACATACCCACCCATCGACCCATCCATTCACCCATCCACACACCGTCCATACACCCATCCATCCACGTACTCACCCACGCACCCATCCACACATACATACATCAACCCAATGACCCACTCACCCATCCATCCACCCACCCACACATACATACATACATCAACCCAACAACCCACTCGCCCATCCATCAATTATACATCCATCTATCCATCCACCCACCCATCCACTGGTATTTATGTCTATTCACCCATCCATCCATCTACCCACCACCTATGGGTGGATGGGGGCTCTCAAATCCCTCCAGTGAGGCACAGGGGGCCACCAGTGAGGCACATATGGACAGAGGGGCCCCACGGGCCTAGGGAAAGGGGCCTCTTGCATACTGGTCTCTAGTACCCAAAGAGGGGTCCTTACCACTGTGGCGTCTACATGGCCCAATACACTCATGCACTGCACCATCTCTCTCATGAACCAGCAATTCCAGGGTGCCCTGGGGAAGTGGGAGAGGCTATAGTTGCACTCCCATCACCAGGTCAGCTGAGGACCTAGAAGACAGGCCCCCAGTTCCTGGGGTTCAGGGACTGGCCAGTAACACCCATGTCCCAGTCAAAAGGAAATGGCAATCCTTTCCCTGTCTCCCTTTGGGGTGCAGCTGGGTGAAGGGACCCTGCTCCACAAGTGCCACCCACCCTCAGAGAGATCCAGAGCCAGGCAGAAGTACAGATCTTGTTGAAATACCTAGAGCCAGCCTTGCCTGATGTCCAGCCCATCCAGGACAAGACCTGGCCTGGGTGAGCCTGCCCATCAAGGCAGAGTGAGGCTTCCAGCATGGGGTATGCAGACCCCGGATCTCTTCCAGCTGCTGGGTGGAGGCCAGGAGCCAGCACCCATGTCCCTCCCAGGTCTGACAGCACATGGGTAAACCACGTCTCTTTAAATTTTTACATTTGCTTATTTATTGTGTGTGTGCACACCGCCACACATATCTGGAGGTCAGAGGACAACCTGTAGGAGTCGGTTCTGTCCTACCACATGGTCCTCAGGCTTGGCGACAAGCTCCTTTACTCACTGAGCCCTCTCTCAGGCCCAGCACAGGTCTCTATGGGCCATGGGTCCTGGCCCTCTCCAGCAGCTTCCTCCAGGGACGCCAGGTCCTCTCTACAGCCTCTGGCTCTTGCTCAGCCGGTTGTGGCGCCAGATGTTCTGTTTGCGCAGCAGCCGCCAATATTCTCGCGATCCGGGGTCTAGTTCCTCCAGTTTCTTGGGAGGCCCCACATTCATCTGGAACAGCCTGGCAGGAGGCAGGAGGCGGAGCTACAGAAGTGTCGCGGCACCTCAGTTTTCTGGGCCCCGCTGTGTTGTCCATCAGAGCCTATGGGTTCTGCTGGTTCCGTTCCTAACCCGCCTCACTCTGCCCCTCGTTCCCTCTACTGCACCCACAAGTGCTCACTCCTTCTCCAACACCGCAGGCTCTGTCCTGCCCAAGGGCTTTGCTATGTCCTCTGCCCTGGGGGGGTCTCCACACAGCCGTGTCCTCTGTTCCAGGACCTTTTTGGTGTCGTCTACCTTTGCATCCCCTTTATCCAGTTCATCTTAGTTCCCTAACGCCTCTCCCTGAGACCTGTCTTGATCACCCCTGAATGCTGCCCACCTGCTCAGCCCCTTGCTCTCCATCCTGTCCTGGATGTAGTCCCCACCCCTCTGGATGCTCACTGTGCACTGTCTTATTTCCCATTTCCCCAGCTTGCTCCGCGAGGGGGGCCTTTGCCTGTTCTGGGCCTCCCAGGATCCCTGGGACTAGGGACCAGACCCCCTGAACACCACAAATATTTGTTAAGGAGAAAAGAGCCCCCCCCAGCTCTGTCCCTTCCCCAGCATCCCCATATGCAGGTTCTAGCACTAGGGCTTGGAGCCCTGAAGCCAACAGGGCCCCAGGACATGTGAAGGGAACCATCTGACCCTGGGGTGGCCCAGAAGGTGTCCTGGGCCTGCATCCTACATTCCCCCAGGACCAGCCCCACATCAGAAGCCCACACACCAGTCAGGGTACTCATGGTCGGCCTTCAGGGCCACATCCTGGCCATCTTTGAAGATGTTCACTCCCATGGCGTGTGTGGTGAGCTGGACAGGGTCCGTGCACACTTCGGGGTCCTTCAGTGCCTCGCCCACCATGCTGCCTTTGCTGCCTTTCCCACCGCCCTTCAAGACTTCAGAATAGGGAGAGAAAGGGGGGTCATTTCAGGCAGGTCAGCCCCACCCCCTGTGTCTCAAGGCCCTAGGCCCAGCTAGGAAACCAATGTTATTTGCAACGAGGCCGTGTTCCTGTGAATGTTCATCACCTGGAGGCTCCTGTTTGCTGGCTGTGTGGCTTGAAGGTCTATGATCATTTACTTCTGCCCTTCAGGGGAAAGCAGGCGAGGCTGTATCCAGCCAAAACACAAGATTTAATAAAAACGTCATATTTAGCCAGGTGTAGAGGTGTATGCGGCCATCTCACCATTTGGGAGGCTGAGTGAAGCAGAAGGATCCTGAGACTAAAAAAACTCAAAAATAGGGGCTGGAGAGCTGCCTCAGCGACTAAAAGCACTGCTCTTGCAGAGGACGTGGGTTCAGTTCCCAGCACCCACATGACGGCTAACAACCGTCTGTTAACTCCAGTTCCAGGGAATTTGACGTCCTCTTTTGACCTCCATGGGCATTGCACAACAGGGGTATACTTACATACATGCAGGCAATATACTCAATACACATGAAATACAAATACTTTTAACAAACTAATATTGGTGCGGTGCGTGCACATACACGTCTGTGGAAGCGACAGGACAACTTTGTGGACCTGGTCCTCGCCTTCCACCTTCACGTGGCTTCTGGGTATAGAACTCACATTGCCAAGCTTTGCGGCAAGCGCTTCACCCACTACACCATCTTGTACGCCCACAAAAATTTAAAAACTATTAATAATAACCAATTCTTAGTGGTGGCGTTTTGCTCAAGGTCAGACATCGATGTGCAAGTAAAAACAAGATAAAAACCCAAGTTCACGACCACACCTCAAAAAAATTAGCTATTAGTCCGCGCCTGCGCAGTGAGGAACGCGTGCACCTGCGCACTGAGCGCCACTGCGCTCCTCAGGCGCTTCACGTTGGCTTCTGCGCACCAAGCCAAGCCGCGCCTCAGACCCTCGAAACAGCCCCTGCGCGTCAGACTGTCGTCCTGCGCCTGCGCTGTGATCGTCAGGATGCTGCCGCCCTACCCTGTGCGCCTGCGCACTACGGGTCCTTCATGTAACCCGCAATTCTGTGACGGCTCCTCCTGAGGTGGCTCACCCGGTTTCTTGGCGTAGTCACGGACGAAGAGTGCTCCAGAACCGGTGGGGTCTAGAAGCCTCCGGTGCCGCCAGCCGGCCCACATCCGGGTGGCCCCGAGAAGACGTCTAGCAGCCATGACGTACGCGGGCCGCTAGCACGTGCACGCTTCCGGGTTACGTCAGCTCCCAGGGTTGCTTTAGGGAGATGTATGCTCCCCGTGCCTTCTGGGAAATGTAGTCTTCCTAGCCTTAGTCTATTACGTCAACTTTTTTTTTTTTTTTTTTTTTAATTTCATGTGTATGAGTGTATTGCCTGTATGTATGTGAGTGCACCCGTGTCGTGCAATGCCGCGGAGGTCAGAAGAAGACGTCGGATTCCCCGGGAACTGGCGTTAAGGACGGTTCGTAACGGCCATGTGGGTGCTGGGAATCTAACCCTGGTCCTCTGCTAGAGCAGTCAGTCCTTTTAACTGCTGAGCCATCTCTCCAGTCCCTTGAGTTAACTTTTGTAGGTGTTCCCAGTAGGAGCTTGCCCAGCATGCACAGAGGATGTTTTATGAAATTGTTGCTCTTGTCCAGTTCCGTATGTACTTAAAATGTCACACTTTAAAAGTTCCTGTTTGTATTCCTTTAGAAATGGTTGAAAGCTTAAAAATAAGAAAACTTAAATCCTGGCGTGGTGGAAGGTGTAGGCAAGGAGGAACAGGAAGCTCAGGGTTACCCTTGGCTATATAGCAAGTTTGGGGTCAGCCTAGGCTAAGTTCCTTAGCTTACCAAAGGTGGAGGGTAGCTGGGCGTGGCGAAGCATGCCTTTAATCCTAGTACTCCCGAGGCAGAGACAGGTGGATCTCTGAGATTGAGGCCAGCCTGGTCTACATAGGGAGTTCTAGCCAAGTGCCTTACTTGGGTACACAATGAGATCCTGTATCAAAAAAGAAGAAGGTGGTACCTGGGTCTGAAGTAGCTTAGTGGGTGTGGGTGGAGGATGCACAGAGGCCCTGGGTTCCATCCTCAGCACTGCATAAACCAGGCGTGGTGGCACATACCAGTCATCCTAGCTCTCAAGAGGTAGAGGCAGGGGGCTGAGAAATGGCTCAGCGATTGAGAGCACTGACTGCTCTTGCAGAGGACCCAGGTTCAGTTCCCAGTACCCATATGGCGACTAACAACTGTCTGTAACTCCAGTTCCAGGGATCCAATACCATCTGGCCTCTACAGACATTGGACAAACGTGGTGCACTGACATACATGCACACAAAAAACTCATATACATAAATTTAAAATAACAATAAATAAAAATAAATAAGAAAAGTTAATCCTTCACCCGCTGGATCTCACTCAATCCTCACAGTTAAGACATGTCTGTATAAGTTATAACTCAGAAATCTGAGGTTCTGAGAGATAAGTTCCTATGTCAACCCCAAATCTAGGATACACTATTTCATATCCCCTCTGTGAACCAAACCGGAAGTACGCCTTCAACAACATTCCCCCTGCCCCCGTGCTTCCTTTTCTCTCCAAATTTTCAAATCATCACTTAGTTTTAATATGTCCCTGCACATTTCTTCCCATGTTCCAGCACAGCTGTTAGAGGTTGGAAGTGATTTTCCACCCCTTTGTAGAATGGCGAGGCCAGTCCGGACAGCCCCTCCACTTTCGGAGTCTTGGGATTCGAACCCGTATCCTCCTATGCGAGCTGCAATCCTTAGCGCCCCTGTGCGGTGAGACCAGTTATGGGACTACATTTCCCAGCAGGCCCCAATGCAAATGCGAGTGCGCAATGGCCCGGGGTGTCGCGCAACAGATGATTGCTCGCCTGAGCCCGGAATCAGTCTGAAGTGTCTCTCGAGAGGTCAGGCTGGGATATTCCGGTGCCGCCGCCAGGGAGTCGCGGGGTCCTGCGGGTCGCGTGGGACGGATAGGAGCTCGGTGTGGACCGTGAGTGTCCCGGTGGGACGGGGTGGGGTGTGGATCTGGAGTCGGCACCTGAGTTCACTGGATCGGCACCTGAGGTTGGGCACTGGTGCCTCAGTTCTGGTAGCCAACGCCTGAGTTCGGGGACCGGTGCCTGAGTTCTGTTGGCCAGCGCCTCAGTCTGGGGACCAGTGCCTGAGTTCTGGATGTTGGCGCCTGAGTCCAGGGGTTGGCACCTCAGTTCTGGTGGCGGGTGCCAGAGTTCTAGGGAGTCGTGCCTCTGTACTGTTGGCCGGCGCCTGAGTTTTCAGTTTACCCCGAGTGAAATAGGACCTCCTTTCCTGTGCAGGGCCCTACGGGCATGGATCCCGAGGCCTGTGAGACGTTCCCTTGGCTACGAAGCCCCTACTCTAAACCCCCATCTTCGAGCCTTGTGAAGATGCCGGCCTGAGCCTGGAACCCAGGCATGGAATTCCTGCCAACCCCCCAGCACCCCTCAGGGCCCCCTGCTATGGACGTGGAGGAGCCCAAAGATGCCCTGGCACCCTCTGAGAACTTCCCGCGTCATGGCCAGTGGGCCTTAATGCCTGGAGGCCCCGTCGTCCCCAGTGGCATGGATCTGGGTGCATCTGGTGGTATTGGGGAGCTGGTGCACCGGCTGGAGGCCCTACCTGGAGACCTAGGGGACCCATCCCCAGATGGAGCCCCCTGTCCCCTGCACATCGCCACTGGCCACGGCCTGGCTCCTCAGGAGACCCCAGATGTTGGTGGTCTCTTGTCGGCTGAGGCAGGCAGTGATGATCTCCTAGGACTGCTGCAGTGCCAACCATCATCGCCTGCCCAGCCTGGGCCCCCACAACCTCCAGGGACTGCACCCCGCCTGCTGCAGCCCCCTGAGAATCCAGCTGAGGACCCTGAGTCACCCAGGTGGATGGAGGGGGCATTGGAGCCCCCAGACAGCAGGAGCTCCAGCAGTTCCCCTGAGCCCTGGCTGGAGACCTCGCCCCTGATGACTCACCAAGAGCCACCCGTGGGTGCCCAGGTAGTGGCCACTGATCCCCACCTGTCCTCTGCACCCTGGAGTGGAGCCTGGGGACCCAACCCTGTCACTCTTCTATCTTCCAGAGCCCTGAGATCCTGGCCTCATATCCTGCCATCCCAGAGGGTGAGTGCCTATGTCACACAGGCCTAGAATGTTCCATAACAGCTCAGAATTGACCTCCCAGACATGGCACAAAGATCACCAGTGATGGTGAGGGTCCAGGGAGGTCTTCGAGGTGGTTGAATTAGAGAAGCTCTCAGATGGCCCAAGAGAGAGGTGACAACAAGCCAGAGAATGTTCTAGAAGGCTGAGCCAGGTGGGTTGACAGGGCAGGCATGACTGTTGGTAGCTGTCAGTTCCAGAACACAGGCTGGCAGAGGGCGGTCCATAGGTAAGGTCCACCCCCTACCTGCTCTGTGGAGGGGGTCTCAGGAACTAAAGATGATGTTCACAAGTTTTAGGTGGTTGAAAAAAAGCAAGGGCATAGAGAATGGCTCAGTGGGTAACGTGTGCTGTGCTGGCATGAAGGTCTGAGTTTGACTCCCCAGAACCCATTTAAAAAAAGTCGGGTGTGGGCCGGGCATGGTGGCGCACACCTTTAATCCCAGCACTTGGGAGGCAGAGGCAGGCAGATCTCTGTGAGTTCGAGGCCAGCCTGGTCTACATAGTTCCAGGACAGCTGGGGCTACAGGGAGACCCTGTCTCAAAAAGACCCCCCCCAAAAAAATGGCAGGTGTGGCAGCTGGCTCTGTCACCCCAGAGATGGGGAGGCAGAGACAGGAGGATCCCTGGGCCCCTGTGGCTGGTTTCTCCTGATTGGCGAACACCAGGTTCAGTGAGAGACCCTGCCTCAAAACAAGGTGGAGAGCGTCCTGGAAAGGCACCCAGCATCCACCTCAGCCTTCACCTGCATGCGCACATAGATAAAAGAGAGGAAATTGGAGCTGGAGAGAGGGCTCAGTGGTTAAGAGCACTGACTGCTCTTGCAGAGGACCCAGGTTCTATTCCCAGCACCCACATGACAGCTGCTATCTATCTTTAACTCCAGTTCCAGGGGAATCCGAAGCCCTCTTCTGACCTCGGCAGCATTGCACGACAGGGGTGCGCTCACATACATGCAGGCAATACACTCATACACATAAAATAAAAATAATAAATAAAATTTTTTAAAAAAGGAAATCTTGGCATGTGAAGGCTATGCAGTTTGGTGTATGTTAATAAAATTTTATTATTGGAACACAACTATGCTCATTCACATGGTCCTTGGTTGGTACAGTAGCCATGGACCCTATAGGGACGCTGGTCCAGAAAAAACAGAATAGTGGACATTGACCCTGTTATAAGTAGAGCATTGATCTCAGCCCAGAAATAATGGGAAGAACCAATTCTGGCAATCCAGAATGTTCTAGAGCTTTCCCTCTGTCCACTTCAGCTCTAATTTGTTTAGTAAATGAGTTCTATGGTGGTGAGGGGAGCCACTTTGGCCTTCTGTCTCAGAAGGCTCTAGAATCATGGGTAGTGCTATGACTTACCTCATGAGTCCCTGAGTTCAGAGGATTTTACCTTCAGTTCTAGATCAAAGGGCTGAGTATTCTGGATAGATAGATGCCCAGGTCTGCACACTGAAAAGTTCTAGAACCACCACGAATAGTTTGTTCTAGACTTGGTGAGGCTTTGCTGTCAGATTCTAGAACCCTGGGTGGATTGTTTAACCTGAGGGTCACCAGGAAGTTCTAGGATCAAGGGTCAGAACTATTTGGGGTTCAAGATAGTTATGGAGACTTTGAACATCAACAGCTGCCTTTTTCTAGAACCAAGGAATAGTGTGTTACCCTGGACTTGCTGAAGAAAATTCTAGAGCTCCCTTTACCTACTGAGCACTCTTGCTGACTCCAGGCTAATTCTTGAATGTTATGGGTTTGATCATGGTGGGGCACAAAGCCTGACCAGAAGGTTCTAGAATGGTGTGTTTGAACACTAAGTTCCATTTTGGGTCTGGCTACAGGTCTGTTTCCTGGAGCTCAGGCAACACTTCCCACAAGTTCTAGAGTGGGTGTTGGAGCAGGGAGCTAGCTATAAACAGGGCTGAGCCCCGTGGATCCTTCCAGAATAGTTGGTGGAGCCTTGCGATTCTCCCACCTGCTAAGCCACAGATTAGAACCATGAACTTCTTGAATCAGAGACCCTAGAGCCTGCTGGAAACCCCTCAGTGGACAGGCCTGACCGAATCCCTTGCTGTCACCTGCAGTTCCGGGTCCCTGTGACCATAGTGACCTCATAGATGGTGTCATCTTTGGGGCCAAATACCTGGGTTCCACCCAGCTGCTGTCTGAGCGTAGCCCACCATCCAGCACACGCATGGCACAGGCCCAGGAGGCCGTGGACCGTGTCAAGGTGAGCCCAGGGCTAGCCATGATCCCTGGGGCTGCATAGTTCCAGTACACAGTTGTACACCCCAGGACCTGCCACATCTGGTTCCCACAGGCCCCAGATGGCGAGACCCAGCCCATGACCGAGGTGGACCTGTTCGTGTCCACTAAGAGAATCAAGGTGCTGTCCATTGACTCCCAGGTACATGTGGGGTGGCATAGGGGAGTGGGGGACATTCTGAGTCCCTTAGAGGCCCTCAGCCCACCCAGCACATGTCCACAGGATGCCCTAATGGACCACGCACTGCAGACCATTTCCTACATTGCGGACATTGGGCCCCTTTTGGTTGTGATGGCTCGGCGACGGCTGGCCCGGAGGACTGCACCCCAGGACCGAGAACGCCGTCTCTACAAGATGCTGTGCCATATTTTCCATTCGGAGGATGTAAGCGGTGGGGGCAGGGAGGCAATCCCCAGCGGCTCATGGGAATGTATAGGGAGATCCCTCAAAAGTGTGCTTGTCTCGGTTGGGGCACTGTAGGTGAGGCCTCACTGATTCCCACCTTGCAGTGAACCACCTCAGATATCTGCCAGGTGCACCTGCCAGGTGGTGGTCAGCTCCAGCTCTGGGTCCCCTGTTCATGTCCCTCCTGACAGGCCCAGCTCATTGCACAGGCCATTGGCCAGGCCTTTGCCGCAGCTTACAGCCAGTTCCTGCAGGAGAGTGGGATAGACCCCAGCCAAGTAGGCACGCGGCCAAGCCAAGGCACTACCAGCCACCCCCACAACGGAGACCTGGACCATTTCTCCAACAGCGAGAACAGCAGAGAGGTGAGCCAGAGGCCCAGTGTCCACTCCAGGCCACACTGGAGCACACTGTCCTGCTGAGACCCTGCCTCTGTCTCCACCAGGTCTGTATCCAAAAGCAACGAGGTGAGGGCCTGGGTGTGGCCCTGGTGGAGTCTGGTTGGGGTTCGCTGCTGCCAACAGCTGTCATTGCCAACCTGCAGCACGGGGGTCCCGCCGAGCGCTCGGGAGCCCTCAGCATTGGGGACCGGGTCACCGCCATCAATGGAGTCAGCCTGGTGGGGCTGCCTCTTGCAGCCTGCCAGGCCGCTGTGCGCGTGAGTCTCTCCGCTGTGGCCTGGGGGGCCCCCCATGTGCACCCAGGAGGGGGCCCAGTCCCTGGGGTTTTGCAGGGTGCGCAGGAGCTTATTAATGGAAAGTTAAGTTACAGTTCACTGTAGCTGGGGAGATCTCCCACACACAGACAGCCAGGTGGGTTGATGGGTGGATAAATTGAGATTTAAAGAGATCAATAAAGGGTGCCATGGGTCCCTTAGGAGGTGAAACAGCACTCATCGGTGAAATTGAGCATTGTCCACTGCCCACCGGTCACCACCGCGGTCATCCGCCGGTCACACGCCCGCGAGCAGCTGGGTTTCTGCGTAGAAAATGGCATTGTGAGAAAGGGGCCTGCCTAGGCTGGGGCTGACATCTGGTCTATGAACCAAGGGAAGTGAGGTCCCCTGAGCCCATGTCCCCCTCTCTCCCCAGATCTGCAGCCTGCTACGCGGAGGCATCGCGGAACGTGGGGGTGTCCGAGTGGGTCACCGCATCATCGAGATCAACGGGCAGAGTGTGGTTGCCATGTCGCACGTACGCATTATTGAACTACTCACTGAGGCCCATGAGGTGTGTGGGGACATGGGGCAGCTGTGGACACATGGGGACTGTGCCATGCCAGACCATTCTGATCCCAACCTCTCCCTCTCCCCTAGGTTCACATCAAAACCATGCCAGCTGCCACCTACCGCCTTCTCACAGGCCAGGAGCAGCCCATGTACCTGTAACCAGCCATCCACATCCCCACCACTGTGCCTTTGTACCTTTGTCCCCACAGCCCACCACCCCTTCTTGGCCAGCTGGGAACCCCAAGATTTCCAGACTTGTGCTTTTTTTCTAATGTAAGAAAAAAATAAATGTTTATTCAATGGACAGCAATTCGGGTTGGGTAAGGGAAACTGAGGCCTGGCCCCTGGTAGTCATACAGAGAATCATAGGTCGGTGGCTGGACCCCAGTCGTAGCCATCATCATCAGAAGAGTCTACATCCCGGGCTCGTGTGAACTTTCTTCTCAGAGCTTCCCGTTCGTAGGTCCTAGGGAACAGGAAGTGGATGCAGGGGACTTATGGGTGGAAGGCTGTGAGCTCACATCCCCTCACCCCAGTGACTCTGCCAGGAACAGTGTGTGGGGACAAGAAAACAAAACTAGTCATCTGGGGAAGCACTTCTACACACCCTGCAAAGCCCCAGATTCAGTCCTTAAACCCTGACTGCATGGGGCTTGGAGTCGTCCCATGGCACTGACTTGGCCACTGGGAAGCCTTAACCTGGTCCTGAGCTCCTAATGGGGTGCTTACCGCACACTGTCTTGGCGCTGCTGGCCCTGAGGGAGGCGGCTATCCACCTGGGGAGGGAGAGGTTTGCGTGAACCCTAATTTTATTTTTAAAAATACTTTATGTGTGTAAGAGTGTTTGCCTGCATTATGTAAGTGCACCTGTGTTGTGCAATGTCCACAGAGGTCAGAAGAGGCTGTCAGATCTCCTGAAATGAGTTACAGTTGTTAGCTGCCATGTAGGTGCTGGGAATCATATCCAGGTCCTCTGCAAGAGCAGCCAGTGCTCTTAACCACTTGAGCCAGCTCTCCTACCCTGAGCCCCAATTTTAAAATGAGGGAATGGGTTGGAGAAGGGGCAGCCTCGGCTGAGTTCTGTTAGTAGTTAACATTCCCAGAGGGCAGGGACAGTCCACCATGGACAGTTGAGCAGGTGGTACACTGAACAACCAGGCACCTGTAGAGTTGGTGTGATGATGTCAGACTGGTGTGTGTGTGTCTGTCTGTCTGTCTGTCTGTCCCTGTGTCTGTGTGTCCGAGTCCCTACCCATCCTTCCCCTCCACCCTGCCCACCTGGGTCTCCCACTGAGCTGGAATTCTCCCATTATCCCTCAAGCTCTGTGGCTCTCCCACCCACACAGGCTCTGAGGACCGAGCCAGGGCTGGCAGTGGGGGTTCCTCCTCCACGCCTGTGTGGGCTCCGCCACCCTCGCCGTCTGTGTAGCCCTCGCCGTCTGTGTCCTCATAGTCACTGTTGGCCCGGCTGTCACAGCTGAGGTCCCCGGAGCTGTCGGCCAGGCTGCGGTGAGGCAGATCAAGGCTCTCTGCAGTCGAACAATCCAGCTGTGGAGGGGATGGGACACTGTGGCTGGCTCCAACCCAGGCCCAGAACCCCACCAGACCTTACTGTCAGTCACCATAGCCAGAGGACACCCCCCCTCCAGGATGCCAGTCTCCACTACCCCATGCTCAACTCTGACCTAAGTTGGCCAACTCCTACATGCCCTTCAAAGCCACAGCTCAGATGCCCAGTCCTTTGGCCATTCTTCCCAAAGGGAGTCACCTCTACCCTTGAATGCTGTCTTCATGGGGCTCGGAGGGGTTTGTTGGGTGCCACTAGGCAGAAGCCACTGCCTGGTCCCCATGGGGTCCATCTCCCTCCCTAGACCCTGCTGGGCCTCCCAGCATCTGATACCTGGTCCTCAGCTGTCCAGATGGGCCGAGTCTGCTGTTCCTGTATGGCAACTTTGACCTCTTGGTACCAAGACTCGCCTGTGCCATGCAGGGGGATGGTGGCTGCAGGAATAGAGTGTCCATAAGGATAAAAACTCCACCAGCACCCACCCATCTGAAAGCCCCCAAACCCTTGGCCACCCCCAGCACCAGTGAACAGGTGGCCGCTGTGTTTCTGAAGTTTCTGGGCCTGGGCATACAGGCGGCGGCTGCTGCGGCGGGAGGCAGGTGCCAGCCACTCCCTCAGGGTCTTTAGGGCTGGCCTGCTCTCTGGGGCACAGAAGATTACAATGGGGTAGTACTGTACGTAGTTGAGACGCTCGATGGCGGAGGGGGTCACATCCAGCAGGGCATGCTTGTCCTGGTCCAGAGAAGGGAGGGGCATTGAAGAGACAAAAAAGAGCCTACAGTCAGAGTGGACCCCAGCTTCTCACATGCACAGCCAGTACAGTGGATGTAGAGATTTTGTCTGCATGCGTGTGTGCATGTATGTACATGTGCATGTGCATGGGTGTGTGGAAGCCAGAGGTCTACATCTGGTATATCCCTCAGTCACTATCTTAATTTTTTTTTTCCAGTCTTTTTGAGACATGCTGGATCAAAGGCATGTGCCACCACACCCAGGTTCCATCTGAATTTTTATTCTTTTAGTTTTTATTGATTGATTTAATTTTATGTATATGTATGTTTTGCCTGCATGTATGTAAGTTCACCACGTGTGCAATGTTCAAAGAGGCCAGAAGAGGGTGCCAGATACCCTGGAACTGGAGTTAGGACAGTTGTTAGCCACCATGTGGGTGCTGGGAACTAAATACAGGTCATCTGTGAGAGCAGCCAGTGCTCTAAACTGCAGAGCCAGCTCTCTAGTTCCACTCCATCTCAATTTTTGAGAGTCTCTTGCTAATCCTGAAAATCATGGATTAGACTGACTGATCAGGGTGCCCCAGGGACCATCCTGGCTCTGCCTACCCATTACTGCATGTGCAGAAGGTTTTATTTGTATTTATTTATTTTATGAGACATTGTTTCTCTGTAGCCCTAGCTGGCCTGGAACTTGCTAAGGAGCCCAGACTGGCCTTGAACTCACAGAGATCCACCTGCCTTTGCCTCTGAGTACTGGACTAAAGGTGTGGGCCACCATACCCATGTGACTTTGAGGCAAGGTCTCATTCTGTGGCCCAGGCTAGCCTCAATCCTCTTGTCTGCCACCCAAGTGCTAGTGCATCAGGGTTGGGTGCTGCCTCTGTAGCTTAGTCTACAGCACCCTGAGAGCAGAGCTCTGTGTCTCCCGCAGACTGCCAACAGTCCCCTGAGAGATGACCTCTCTCTCAGGGCATGGGGTGACACCATGAGGTCAGATACCCAAGCCTTGGCCCTTCACCCAAGCTGGGTTGCACTCACCTTCTCCGCAATCAACCGCACTGTGTCTAGTTTGATGATCTTGGATGGAGTCTCTGTCCTGAACATGCTTTCTGAGAAGGACAAGGTGACCCAGTTAACATCCATGTTCATGTCTACCTGCTCCTCAGCTGCTCAGGAAACCACCATAGGGGGCTGGAGAGCTGGCTTAGTGGTAAAGAGCACTGGCTGCTCCTACAGAGGACCCGGGTTTGGTTCCCAGCACCCACTTGGGGTCTAACAACTGTCTGTAACTCCAGTTCCAGGGGATCTGACAGGCTTTTCTAGCCCAGGCATGGGCAGAGTATCTGGGAAGAACTGAGATCCATTGAGGATGTCTAGCTCAGGTATGGGTAGAGTGGTTGGGGCAGCTGAAATTGATTGAGGATGTCTAGCCTGGGAATGGGCACAGTGGTTTATAGGAGCTAAGATTGATTGAGGATGTCTGGCATAGGCCTGGGTAGAATAATGAGGTGCCAAAGCCCTCTCAACAGTGGGATTCTGCAGAGCCTGTCCCCCACACTGAAGCTCTGTCCTGATCTACACTCCCTCCCTAGCCCCCAGGATGCCACTTCCTGTCTCTGTGGCTCTGAGGACTCTGTGGACCTTCTGGGAGTGGGAGCCTGTGGTGTGTGTCCTATGTCTGACTCCTGTCACTAAGCCTCTTGTCCACGGGGTCACTCCAAGTCAGCATGGGTGTCAGAATGCCCTTTCTTTTTCCTGGCTGAGTAATATCCCCATGTGCGGCTAGATAGTGCTTTGACTGTAGGTGTGCATGTATGTTTGGCAGCACTTTCCAGTGTTCTGCCCGTCTACCCAGCAGCCGAATTGCTGGATCCTATAGTTCATTGCATGTAATCTTCACATGCTAGCTGTACGTTGCACCAGCCCAGACTGTCCTGCCTTTTCTACATTAGTCCTGTGTGGGTGATCCTGATGACTAACAAGGTGGCAGGTGACTTTGCCCTTTGAATCCCACCAAGCCTCCTCCGAGAAGCCTCACTTGGTGTCCTGAAACCTGTGAGTTCTGGCTGTAGTTTTAGCTTCACAAGCTCCGCCTCCAACAACTGTCTTGTGGCTCCCTATCACCCTCAGAACCAAATCCCCACTCAGTCTTCTTCGCCACCCTGGTCTGGGGACCCAGGGACTCTCTACCCTGACTTCAGCCCTGTAACCCTCTTTCC